CTCTCTGAGTTCTGCCATTCAGCCAGTTCTCAATCCACCTCACTGACCACTCATCCAGCCCACACTTCCTGAGCTTCCCTAGGAGGATGTTATGGGAGACTGTGTCGAAAGCCTTGCTGAAGTCTAGGTAGACATCATCCACTGCTCTCCCCTCATCTACCCAGCCAGTCATGTCATTGTAGAAAGCTATCAGATTGGTCAAGCATGATTTCCCCTTGGTGAATCCATGTTGACTACTCCTGATAACCTTCTTTTCCTCCGCTAATAATGTAACATCACTGGTGCCTGTCTGTGTAAAATATGAAACTCCCTCAGCTTAATTACAGCAGTGAATCAGTTCTGGTTTGATTCCACTTTAGGATGACAAAAGCAGTATTAATAGCCAGCTTGTTCAGTGCTATTTATTTTATTGCAGGAAGTTATTTGTTGGTTAGTATTGTTTATGCAACAGTTTTGCTAATAATCATAGCAGCTCACTGAACAGAGGTGAGGTGGAAGTTACTTGGTTTTGTTGAAGTGTTGTGGGTTGTAATAAGGCAAAAAATGATTTTACAGTAACTTGTAACAAGAGCAGACTGTTACTGGGACAGTGAACAAGAGCAGTAGTCTTTTGAGAAAATGTATGTGTACAAATAAGAATACATTTATAGATCACTGAGTTTATTTAGCTATTGTAAATTGTTAAGGAAATTAAGTTGCACTGGTAATTTGTCATGACTTAGCTAAATTATGTGTACAACATGTTTAATAGTCATAGTTTGAACATGCTGGTGTGTCGTAACAATATTGTTTGTGCATAGTACGTAGCAGAGGTCAAAAGATGCTCTAAACATTCTTTTTTTTTTGTGGCCAAACAGAAATATTTTTTTTTAGAATATAAGAAGAGTTAACATTGTTTTCTTGTTTTAGTAAAAAATCCCAGAAGTGGGACGAAATGAACATCATAGCTACATACCACCCGGCAGGCAAAGATTACGGCCTGATGAAAATAGATGAGCCAAGTACTCCTTACCACAGGTAGGCTTGCTAAGCTGATAGTAAATGATAGAAGTTTTACATCAAAATCGACTTTGTGGATGATGCAGTATTTAGTGTAGCTGACTGCCTGACAGACTGTGCAGCCCTGCTGGAGATATGCAACATATTCAAATTTACAAAGCTTCTAAATAAAGGCTTATAGCTGTCAAGGAGAACTGTCAAAAAAGACAGAGTCAGTTTTTAGAAGGTCTGTGTCTAGCAAGCTTTAGCCTTTGAATGGAATAAATAAACTTGACGTATTGATTTTTTTTTTTCAGTTAACATCTGTGTGCTAGAATATGAAGTTCTCATATCAATATTTAAATAAGATTTGGAAAGTTTTTGAAGTATTGAAGGAGACTTTTAACTGAGTGTTGTAATGTTTAGACTGTTTTATCAGGCAAATTTTAAGCAGCAAATTTATTGATAAAGGTGTCTTTTTGTTTGCCTTCTAAGCATGGTAGGAGAAGATGATGAAGACGCAGTGAGCGATTCAGAATCAAATGAACCCTTAAAAGCAGATGTGTTGAGTAAAAAGTAAGTATTGTCACAGAAAATTGACTAAAGGTTAAGATAATTTTCTCTTTTCTGGAGTAGTTTTCTTTTTGAAAAGGTGTCGCTGTTTTCTCTAGAAGTCAAATTTTTGCTATTGTTAAATGAAGTAGATTTTGGTGTTTGATAGTGCCACTGGTACTTAAAACCTCTTACAGGTTGTTAGTACACAATAACATGGCAAAAATAATGAACAAAGCAGTTTGTACAAGTGTTCTGAAATTTCATGGATTTTAAATAGTTAAGAACTTGCTGCTTCAGCATTTTGTATTGCATGTTTTATGTAGACTGGCAGCTGCAGCTGAAGGTAAAGGACCCAAGATTATAGCAAAACAAGAGGAAAGCAGTGAGGAGGAGGAAGAGGATGAAGAATTAACACCTGAAGAACGAGGTAGGTGTAAGTTGTTTTCTTTGTTTTGGCTTGTTTTTTCCTGCAGATAGTTTCAGTTTTTCAGTAAGAAATATTTGGGAAGAAAAAGTACTGTCTGACAGACAGATGTTCTCATTTGAAAATGGAGATGTATGGTCTTCGATGGGTAAGTAAAAGATTGAATAAACATGCTGTTTGTTTGCAGTCAGGGCTGTTTGGTTTGGGATCTACATATAAAGAGGAGTTTGCTGTTACTGGCTGCCCCCTTGTATAGAAGCTTAAGGTGTGGGAATTCCGCTTAAGAAACCTAGACTGCTCAAACAAGGAGCTCTTGTGGTTTTGGAGTGAGGGAGTACTTCTTAATCTGAATGCGTTTCAGGTAGGCTTAGTATTTCAATTAAGATGCTACTAATTGTTTGCAAACACACAGATGACATTTCTGTTGTTTTCAAAGCAGCTGGTAGATGGATCCAGCAGGAAATCTACATCTGTTCCAAAGCAAATTGCATGTGCAACATAGATGTTGTTTTGTGTTAGCTTGGGCTAGAACATTTTGAGGAAACAGTCAAACAATAACGCTTCTGAGGTTTCAAGCTTGCATTACCTAGCTGTTGCTTCTCGTGTTTCCTGGCCCCAAGTCCAAGCGTGTAACCTTACTAGTCTTAAGGAAGACAAAAACAGTGTTGTTGCTGCCAATAAGCAAAGTTTAATTTAATTATAATGCATTACTGCTAGACCTGCTAATGCTTAATATATGGAGCAAAGTGAGGCTTTAGGCCATGAGGAAAGTGGAAAATATTTTCTTCTACATGTGGTAAATACATCTTGCATAACTGGCCTTTGGTAGCTAGCCAGGAGTCAAGTTGGACATCTGCAAAACTGCATCTTCTGTCCCACCGGTATGTCTCAATTTGTCCGTAAGTTTACTTGGAAACAAGCCTTGCGAAACTTTGGAATTTCTTATGCTGTTACTAGATGCTTCTCTTGGTTCAGACGTGCTCTTCCTTGGAGACAGGTTCTTTTAAAAGCGCTGCAGCCTTTACAGTCCATTAATTACTAGCCTTTTTGCAAATCAGACTCATTTAAAAGAACACTCCACTGCTTGGGGAAAATAATTTGAATCTGGTGATTGCTTGATCATACAAACAATGGACTTTCAAGGTAGGAATAAAGTTGACCTAGGAAGCAGTTCATGCCTCTCTGAAGAGGAAGTTGATTTTTTTTTAAAAAGGGAAGACATAAATGTTTGCATCTGTTTGTCCACAGAGAAGAAGAAACAGTTTGAAATGAAGAGAAAAATGCACTACAATGAAGGACGAAACATCAAACTGGCAAGACAGCTCATTGCAAAGGAACTGCATGGTGAAGAAGAGGATGATGATGAAGATGAAGAGATGCATGATGCTGCAGATGTAGAAACAATGAATACAGAAGCTACCGAACATGGTGAGATACTGGTTAATCAAAACGCATGTTTAAGTACTGGTGGTCCTTTCAGCTGTTGGGAAATGAGTACGCTCCAGTGTGAGAACGAATAGAAAGGGTACGGTATGTCTGTAACGCTCCGTGTGCAGTGCTGCATGCTGTCTCAATAGGTAGATTTGTAGCATGGTACCAAAACCATCAATATTGCTAAACAGCATGTGGGCCTTTGTTTGTGGTGGCACAAAAGAAAGGCAAACACCTCTGCTTCATCCTGTTTCCCCAGCATAATTTAGGATACTATAATCTTGGTAGTGAAGTTGCCAGCACCCTTTTTAAAGGAGGACTTGTCCTACACAGAACACTTAAAGCTGTGGCCACATGGGAGAGCCTGGCCTCATGTTGTTGTTTGGTTCCCATTCTGCTCACAAACCATCCTGTAGCCAGCAATGGGAAACTGTCATGAGTACTTCCTCCCCGTTGAGAGGAATGTACCTAACTTCCCAAGTAAGAGCTTCTTCCTGTCTTACTGTAATGTTGTTTTGGTTTCGGCTGCCGCCGGCAACAAAAGCTCCACGCGGCCGCCCCTCCCCCCGCCGGCGTGCGGAGGAGAATGGAAAGAAAGAGGCCGAAACCGGGGGGCAGGGGGAA